TTATATATATACTTATGTGAGGAATACGACTCGACACAAACAGATGACAAAGATGTGAAAAACCAAAACTATTTCAGGGATCTCGATATCGGCACAAATCAAACTTCTGCGCAGGAGTCAAGGCTCCATGGATCGCAAGAAAAAGGGGAAGAACCTGCGAAAGCAGGGCGGACTTTCGCAAGGCGGAGATATTGGCAATTCACAAGTTCGGTTTGAAATTTCTTTTCGGTTTTGGTAGTCACAAGTGTAGCAGTGTAGCAGGCACTTTGCAATGTTGGATGTTGGTGTTGCTCTGCCACCTTGAATCTGGCTGACTGAAGCGAACCCGGCATGGTCTCCAACCTGGAAATCTGTACTTGCGATGTCTTCTTCAGTGGCGATACCAGCCCACTGACACACCGAATCATATTGCTTGTCATGCTTCAACCGCATCACCTGCTTCACCTGCTTCAGGTTCCGCCTATTCATCTCCGAACTACACGCAGAACATTATGTCGCAGGACATGTTGGAAGATGAGCTCCCCATTCTTTGAGCTACCGAATGAAACACACCACCTAAAGCATGGCTGAAGGCAGATGATCAGATTGAACCTTTATTTTAAATTTATAAGTTGGTATTTGAATATATATATATATGTATTTGATGTGAATGAACATCCTCGCTTCGAATTGTCCATGGCTGATCAGGAGAGCTACACGGCCTTTGACGATGGTTATCACAACCTGACAAGTCAAGAGAGCCGAAGTCAAACCCAGAACACACAGGAGATTTGGTGTGTTTGAATATGTTTGATCTGTTCCTGTCGACATTCGACTCTTTCTTGTAGAACGCGATCGACAATGTGTAGACACGGCCTGATGACTCCAACGTTGGCATGCTTTGCTATTGCGTTGCTACTGCGTTGCTTGTGTTTTGGAACAAAAACTTGACCTTACTGCTGGGAAGGACCTGTAAGTTGTGCAGGGTCGGTTGCTCAGAAGCACGTTAAAAAATAGGTGACGATTGTTTAGTGAGAAGGACCTGCCTTGTGGTAGAGTTATTTCACATTGTGGCAGAGCAGTTCTTTCATTGACATGCTGTGTCGCATGTGCCATAAGTCCTCTGAGGTAAAGGCAGCAAAGTCAGAGAAAAACATGAGAAAAACAATTATGGTCGCGATCTCAGGCTGAGGACAGCCTGACAACATTTGCAAGACAGCATCAATCTCACAAGAAGTTGCTTCAGTTGGAACATTTGAAGCAGGGTGGATGTGGATTTGAAACGGTATGATCACCTCAACTATCCTTAACTTATTCAACCGCCGTCTTGAGGCAATGATGTGAGTGATATTGAGTGATATTGAGTGATAGTGTGATCACTTGTGATCTAGTAGGTGTTTCTTTGGCCAAGGCAGAACAAACGTGCTCAAGAAGCTTTGGACCTGGGAGGCCCAGCATTTTAGATAGTCGACAGTCAGTCGACAGTCAGTCGACAGTCAGTCGACAGTCAGTCGACAGTCAGTCGACAATCGAGGTGGTCTCCTTTGAACATTGAGAAATGGAGTGTGGCATAGTCTGGCACAGTCGTAGTTGTGTAGTTGTTTTCTAAACTGACCATGTGACCCATTTCTTGGAGTGTAAAATGACTTAAAATGTACATATTGTATCATCTTGTGTATCATCTTGTGTATCATCTTGTATCATATTGTTCCTTTTGGGAGTTTTCGGTGCCTGGACTCTCCAGGAAAGGATCCTTGTTGCAAAAAAGAAAGACACTATAAAACCAATAAAAAGATCATGAATCCACAAACATGTTCACATTCCTGGCCTTGAATTTTGACATGCGTTTATTTTATCATAGCATTTGCTGGCTCACTTCATGACCTGATCGCCAATGAGCAGGTATGGCAGCCAGCCGATTTCTTCTGGGTGAATGGCCAAGTGATTAATGGATCTCTTTGAAGATTGAACGAGTTCAGCTGTTTCCGACAGTCATGCGAGTAATTTGTTTAGTGCATTTGTTCCTTTGCGATTTGGCTTTTCTTCTGGGCACCGGTCGCAGACTGCCTGGGTGAACAGATTTATTCGGCACAGACCTTTGCTTCTTCACAAGCATGAAGCTCTGGCTGACAAGTTTGCACAAGTTTGCAACCCAAGGCTGATACCCGTGTCGGGTAGCAGGACACAAGCCATCGTTGCCGTCGTTGTGTGTTTTTGTTCTTCCAGCGCAAGCAAAGTGGCTGTTTGGGGAGAGCACATCTAATAAGAAGCAAAATGAGCATATAATATTCTGTAATATTCTGTAATATTATGTGATATTATGTCATATTATGTAATATTATGCAATATTAATATTATGCAATATTAATATTATGCAATATTAATATTATGCAATATTATGTAACATTATGCAATATTAATATTATGCAATATTATGTCATATTATGTAACATTATGCAATATTAATAATATGCAATATTAATATTATGTAATATTATGTAATATTATGCAATATTATGTCATATTATGTAACACTATGCAATATTAATAATATGCAATATTAATATTATGTAATATTATGTAATATTATATAATATTATGTAATATTATGTAATATTATGTAATATTATGTAATATTATGTAATATTATGTAATATTATGTAATATTATGTAATATTATGTAACATTATGCAATATTAATATTATGCAATATTAATAATATGCAATATTAATATTATGCAATATTATGTCATATTATGTAACATTATGCAATATTAATAATATGCACTATTAATATTATGTAATATTATGTAATATTATGCAATATTATGTCATATTAATATTATGCAATATTAATAATATGCAATATTAATATTATGTAATATTATGTAATATTATGTAATATTATGTAATATTATGTAATATTATGTAATATTATGTAATATTATGTAATATTATGTAATATTATGTAATATTATGTAATATTATGTAATATTATGTAATATTTTGCAATATTAATATTATGCAATATTAATGATATGCAATATTAATATTATGCAATATTATGTCATATTGTGTAACATTATGCAATATTAATAATATGCAATATTAATATTATGTAATATTATGTAATATTATGTAATATTATGCAATATTATGTCATATTATGTAACATTATGCAATATTGATAATATGCAATATTAATATTATGTAATATTATGTAACATTATGCAATATTAATATTATGCAATATTAATATTATGCAATATTAATATTATGTAATATTATGTAATATTATGTAACATTATGCAATATTAATAGTATGCAATATTAATATTATGTAATATTATGTAATATTATGTAATATTATGTAATATTATGTAATATTATGTAATATTATGTAATATTATGTAATATCAGTATATAGCACGTGGAAGTCAATGCTTCAGACCAAGTCGCACACATTGGCCACAAATTTGCCAGGGATGGGGCTTGACCAGCACCGCCTGCTGGAATGCCCAAGGGATGGGTAGAGAACGTGAATTTCATTTGTTTGTAACATCCGAAGTTTTCCACGGAGCTCACGAATAATCGATTCAAGACATCGACTCACAAGATATCATAAATCCCTCTCTGTTTTGATTGGCAAGACAATCAATGACAATCATAGAATCATATACTACAAATTACTACAATGCGGTCTGACGACTGAGTTGTTTGAGTTGTTTGGAGCGGAGCATGTGAGTTTTTGGGTTTTGTTGATCAAAGCCCTGGGAACGAGCGACTGAAGGCGCTAGGCGAAGCCGTCCCGAATGGCCAGGAAATGCCAAGTAGGGAAAGCGGTCTGTTTACGGTCTGTTTACGGGCAATATCCCAAGCTTTCCATTGTTTTCCATCCTCAGCCTTTCACCTGACTGCTTCACCTGAGGCACCTGTGGTTGCAGCTCTCGGAAGGTAGCGGTGGGCGGTTGATGGTGCTGTTATGTGGTTGAATTGAGGCCATGCCATGCCAGGATTCCTTTCAATTGAACCTACCAACCAGATAATTCCAGAAACTTCAGATAACTTCAGATACTAAATTTGTTACTAAATGCCAATAGATCCTTGTAGCGCTGAAATCGTGCGTTTCTTTCCCCAGTACTTGGATGTTCGGGCACTGCTGGACTGGATATCCAGACATGGAAGTTATGGAAGGTATGGAAGTTGAAGTCTGGACCCGAAACTTTTCTTTCTTTTTACTTAAGCAATTTTGGTGGCGTTGCGTCCTGACGTGTTGTGTTTGAAGCAGTGAATAAGTTTCTTAAAGAGTCGTGGCTGTTTATTTTTGAATTGAAGCCTGGCCCACACATGAGAACCACTTGTTCTTAAACTTGCTGCTGATGTCGCAGGTGAACTTGTAAGACAGAATGTGGACAATCAACCATTTCCTAGCAACTGAGATTACTTTCCTTGCATAACAACACCAATACATCCTGAATCTTCAGCTTGTTTTGCCATCTTCCTGTCTTGGCCTCCTAAAATAATAGGTCATTTCTAGTATACATTCTAAATGCTTGTTGATTCAGTTGCTCAGTCTGCTTCAACAAGCCACCGATTGTTGCATCAGTCAATGACGTTGATACCCGCCCAACAAGGCACCAAAGAGGGGTGCCGCCTGATGTGCTGAGACCCAGTCCAAAAGGCAGTAGCAATTGCAACAGTACAGTGTTCAGCCTATTTCAGCCTTCAAGAATCTTCAACAGCTCTTCACTAGAAATTGCGCTTCCGACCCGACTCAAGATCAAGACCTTACTTATGTTTTCTTGAATGGCTCTCCCGCCGAGAAGTGTGAAGAGTCTTGACTCAAAGAAACTGATCTTTCTTGAGTGACGATCCACACGAATCCAGAAAAGTAATAGTTTGAGGAAAGGAGGAAAGGCTAGACCCTGCAACCTGGCCAGTGTTTTCAACCATCACTTTACTCGGGCAGCTTTTCTGGTGGCAGTACAACATGAAACTTTCAGAACCTTTGACTGTGATCAATGCGACCGCAGTACTGTTGCAATACCAACGAAAAATCTCGGGCTGCAACCCTCGCGCCTGCTGTTAACGAACCACTTGCCGGCAATGGAAAGACTTTGCCAGAGTGGTGGAACTTCCTCGCGTTCCAACCAGCGCGACACATCAACCATGTTTTGCTCTTGACGTCAAATTCTTTGTTGGGGCAAGAACAGGCTATAAAGTGTAAGTATGCTGTTGTGGCAGCATCGACTACAGACAATTCCCGTGTCAGCTTTGGTGAGCAGGCGTGGGGGTGGAAGGCTAGCTGTCAGCGGTTTGTCTATGGACAAGTGAGTAGGTGCCGGATTGAGATGTCAAACAAAGGTGTTTGCTACATTTTGCTACTGTCTAAAGAATTGAAAGTTCAGGCAGCATGAAAACTTCATTTTTCATGCCAGACACTTCAAACCATTATTTCTGAACTGGCCTTCCCCAAACCATGCGGCGCCAGCATTTCGGGTTGATGAAAAGTGTTGTTGGTCACAATATCACAATATGTTTGGATCAATTTTCCCTGACAAATTTAACTTTTGCCGTTGGAAAGTTTTCATCAACCCCCCAATGTCATCCAAGCAAGGTCACTCCTTGCAGAGCGCATGCGTCAAAATGTATCACACATGCCGCGAGATCGGGTGAATTTATAACTCACTGAGATTTGCACTGCTTGGTATCATGCTAGCACTATGCTAGCCAAAGAATGCAGCCATCTTCTTTTGCATTAGAATTGCATTTGTCACGGTATTGACTCTATTGTGAAATGATTTCAGGAAATAATCGAGACGAGGACACTTGCAAGCTTTAAGCAGCTTGATGTTAATCTCACACCGAGACAGAGAGAGGGACCACAATCTCCGTGCTCTCTATCAGCATCCTGCCAGAGTTAGTTACCCTGCGAAGTGCGTGCTTTGCTTCTCCCAGGAATGCTGGGAACCTCATGCAAATTCAAGGAGAACCTTGAAAAATAGTCAATCCTTTCCAAAAGGGCGGGAGTGAATTTTTGTATCATTTGTACCATCTACAATTCCTGAGGGACAAAGCACACATTTTGCATACTACATTCGCACTCGCACCGGGTGCCTGCACAGCCTACCAGGCCGGGAATCGGGTTTGTGGATGTGAATTGACGTTGGATGATTTCTGACTGTTTTTTGGACGTGTCTTAATTGTTGTGGGTTCTATTCACCATTTGCCAACTGCGCTTCCTGCTTCATAGCATGTCCCCAGGCCTTCTGCCGAGCTTGTTCAGATGGGGAGGTTCATGCTGCTGGTGGTGGCCTTAGAAACACTTTCATCGATCAAAACGGCGGAAACACGTACTGTGTAGAAAGAGCTGATGCTTTGGGGTTTGGACACCAGATTAAATTTGTTGTTGACGTCTTGCAGCCTGATACCAGTACTTGCCGCTTGTGCAAAAAGCATCAAAAAGCAGCCACATGAATGGCTCATGGTGAGATTTCTTTCGCAGTTGCTACTCTCCATACAGCGCAGGTGGATGATGATGACAGCGACGAGGTCAGCCTTAGTCCATGGGTTTCACTGCAACGGCTGCAACGGCAGCATGTCTAGAGCTGACCGCAGCTGACCTTGTGACCTGATTCACAACTTGCAGTGGCATCTCATGTCATTTTGGACCTGTGGAGAGGCAATGTCAGTTCTCTCCTCAGACGACGATGGTTTCATGCCATGGGCAAAAACAATACACGTGCGAAGGCTCCAACCGCCATGGGCCTTGCTTCTGCGCCGTCGTTGTCATTGGATTGTCATTGGCACATTTGTGCAATTCAACGGTAGCATCGGAACGACAACACGACCTCCGAATTCACATAATTGACTTCCAAACTTCAAACTTCCAATCGATTTTCCGACAAACACTTCCAGCAGTTCCATTGGATCTGGAGGCGGCTGCTGCAAGAACTGCCCGTAGCCTCGGGTCTCTGGTGGTTGAAACGCACAGCACGGCGACGAACCTTGCTGCGCCTTGCAGAGGAGCTCTCGAAAACAGCGGATTTTATGCACATGGCATGCCATGAACTTCGCATGAACAATCAAGATACAATATATCGATGTATAATTAGATGTATAATGATGTATGTAATATACAATTTCAATCAATATCATATCACAGCATCTTCTTTGATTCGATGCCATGATGCCATGTAGTGGGAAATTAGCAAAATTGGACAGTCGCGGATCTGTTGCGTTTCTGCGAAAAGGAGTGCGCTGCCTACGGCCCCCAGTTGCGTCGACGTTGTGCAGAACTGCGTGCAGCAGCTGCAAAGCGTCGACTTGAACTGCTGCGGACTGGGCAAATGAAGGCAGGGATGGCACAAGAAATCGATGAGTTCGGATGAGATCGGATCAAATGGGATGAAACCATGATAAGTTGATATCCGGGACCAGGCCCCTCAAAGCAGGTGGAAAGCTATCACATTTGTCGCTGGAGAACTGATTCCCCTCGTGATGAGACTGCCGGAGCAAAACCATGGCCTGTTAGCACGTCCAGTTCCTCGTCCCAGGAGTATGCTGCAATGGTCCAAGAGACAAAGGCAAGGAGATGAACTGTGTACTAATGCGCACTCCCACACTACTTGTAATGTTTTGCGCAGTCTGGCTTGCATCTCATTTTGATGACCAAAGCAAAGAATCTAATCTAAATTAGATATTTTTCTAGAACCGCAGATTCTCCAGCTGCAAGTGCAAGGTGTAGCAAACGCATTGTCATGAATAGTATGAAAGCGTGGATTGACACGTCGAAAGAATGATCAGCTGCTGACTTCTGATCCATCCGCTGACTGGTCAGGATCAGCGTTTGCAGGAAGTCCTGGACGAGACGAAGCGAATCCTTGCTGAGCTGGGTGTCAGCAGCAGCGAGGAAAAGGATGTGACACAACCAAAAGCCTTAGCGCAGCTCCGACAAATCGTGGGTTCCACCCTCGAAAGTCCATCCACTGGGAGACTAGTTGGGACTAGTTGAGACTAGTTGAGACTAGTTGGGCCTTAAGGACTTCGCACATAACAAATCTAACAAAGATCATGCATTTCGATGCGTTTCGCATTGACGGGTGGCCCCCTTAAGAATCTTTAAGAGAGGTGATTTGAAGTGTTGCTCCATGTTGCTTTAGCTCAACGCCAGGATTTCACGGAGATTTGTTTGGAACAAATCGTTCTGTTCTCGATGTTTTCTTTGCCAGTCCCTCTCGGAGAGCGAGTGCTTTCCTACTTGTTCAATCTTTTTCATGATGCAATGCTGTAACAATTCGTAGCATTTCCGTAACATGTTGTTCCAACTCATCCTATTGATTCAAGGCATGGCCAGCTGATGCCTCATCAAGCAAATGGACTTCGCTGGTTGGTGAGGCCTGGACCAAGGCCAAAAGGTTTACTGAATCGCAACAACGAGATCTCCACGGTTGCCCTCACTGTTTAGAGAAATTTCTCCATCTCTCTCTCTCTCTGAATTTCTCAAGGCAAATGCTGGTCATGGAATTCTGTACCTTGAGTGTCCAGACAAATGCTATCAAATGCTGTTGGAATGTTGATGGTTTTCCAAGGCTGACCGACAACCAAATGAGTGGCATTCTGGCAGATGACATGGGACTTGGAAAGACCGTCCAAACCTTGTCGCTTTTAGCCTTTTTGGCTGAAAGCCGTCAACAACGAGGCGTGCAGGGGATGCTTGTTTGTGTGTTGATGGTGTCAACACACAAGTAAACCGTGGATGATTTAGAATTTGACCTCCAGATCCAGTGCATGTCATTCATTGTCCCTCCAAGCATTTACACACTCATGCTACACCAAGGAGCTCTTAGCACAGCTGCGCTGTAGCCATTTTGGCTGAAGCGGGTTATTGGGTGCATGCCTGAAGCCATCCATGGCGGCATCCATGGCTCATGTACCCAAACGGGCGGTGCAGCATTGCCTCTACACGCCCCTGCAGGAAGTTCATCCTCCTTGCTTGAAGCCTGGGCAAGCAGAGCAGATTGCTGCAGCAGAAGCGGCTGAAGCGAAGAAGAAAGATGCTCCGTTGCCGCCCTTCGCCAAGCTCTTTGAGGATAGTCAGATTGAATCTGAGTATGTGAGGCGAATGTGTAAGCTCAGATGCCCCGATGACTTCAAAACACCACGTGGAGACAAAAAGGCAGACCATGCGGATGACCATTCTTGTCAGATTGGCGTTGCACATTGGCGTTCAGAGTATGCCCACAACTCAGCAGAAGGAGGATCTCGAAGAGTGCAACCTCAGATGACAGCGCAGCAGATCTTAGCCAGCCGGAAGGTGCCTACACCTCGCTGTTGTATCAGCAAGTTGCAAAGTTTCACTTGCAACCATGCAGAGTATGGCAGGAATGGTGACAATCCCAGAGACAAGGTCACACCACGGGACACTCAAATGCCAGTGTTGAAGAATTCTTTGACCGCAGGGAGCACCAGAGGTACAACACACATCCCAGGTTATCAAGGCGTCATCCCACGCTATGCTGGCAGCGAGAGTCATATGCGTGCATCTGCAACACCACGGTCAGTGGACAAAACCAATATCATTCCGAACTTTCACAAAGATATTGTGGGCTATGCAGGACACGTACCAGAAGCTGTCTGTAACGACTTGGGTGGGCGCAAGCCAACCGATCTCACCACCTTTGGTCATGACTTCAAACCACACAAGACTGGCGCACTTCGCTGACCGGACTAAAAGGGTCTAGGGAAGCGGGAAAAGCTGTGCATGAACACGAAGATTCGCAAAGATTGAAAAAGGTGCTAGCTGAGACCTTTGGGATCCTTTGGGGGTATAGTGCAAGGAACAAGTGAACTGGCAAGACATGGCAAGATATCGCAGGTATCAATCAGCCTTGGACCAAAGAGCTAAGCTGCCACCCGCTTTGTCACATCTCAGTTGATCATACAAGGCTTTGAAGAACGACTGATTATCATGGCTTGTACGTTGCAGCATTCTACAGCCTTAGATATTCATATCATCGAGCCGGTCTGACACAATTGATTTGCAGGCCCACACCTCGTGGTATCGCCTATGAGCACCTTGCAACACTGGCCGGGGCCCTCAGTGAGAAACACATGGGCTGGAGTATGGGAGTAACTTTTTTGTATCACACTGATCCTTTCTAATCGCATCTAATCGCTTAGTTTGTATGATTGGAAACTTTTCAAGAGGATTTCTTTGCCTGGGAATATCTAATCTGGGCTTGGGTACTTCCTTGGTGCAAGTGCTTTGGAATTGATTAGATAGTATTGAACTTCTGATCAGTCAATTGACATGAGGTGTGACGAGATTCTTCAATGGCTTCCCACGTTTCGCTTCCTAGTATATCGTGGGAATGCCTCCCAACTTGCAGCTGTTGAGAAGGAGACTATTGCTGTTGAGCGGTTTCGGAGTGTTGAAAAAAGATAAAGGGCCTGAGCTGGGGAGATTTTCGAACAAATCTTGTGTGATCCCCGGGATCCCCTCTACTTCTTGTTATCTTCTTGTTATTTCTTGATGGGTGTGCCACTGTGCCGTTGAAATATGTTGACATCATTCAGCGCCCGTCTCGATGAACTCGGCTAGGAGACGGTGAATGCCGGCAACAAGGTGAGCATTGTCCTGACGAACTATGAGGCATATGCGTCATATGGGTGTGGGCATGTGTGGACAGGCAGCGACAAAGAGTGTGCAAAGTTGATCCAACTTACATCAAAGCTGTTCAAAACTGATTCAACACCACAAAAGTGCATTGAGATACTGTATTTTTTTATATAAATTGTTGAAGCATGTTAAGGTCATTGAGGGTCTTGCAGGGCTATCGAGGCTGCATCTCACTGCATCTCGTTGACACACTTTGTTTAAGAAGAGTCAGTTGGGTTTCCTTTGTGTTTCCTACGCGGCAGACGATGGCAAGCCACGACGCCTTCCTCGGGAATTTCCCATGGTGCTGCCTGAAGCTGAGTTGGTTTGGATTTCTTACGAGATGTGGCTGCAAGTGGAGAGAGTGGATAGAGTCTGATCAATTTTGAATCACTGGAGAATCCATTCGTCCGATGGGATGGAAAGAGCCCAGGGACACTTGGGTGTCTTGAGCTTGGAACTGAGATTTTTGTCTTGAGCTGCCTTGAGGTCTTGTTGTAGATGAAGGTCACCGCATTAAGAACCACAAAGCTCACAGCAGCCAGGCAGAGCATGACCCCATCTGGAGCAGTTGCAAGACGCCGAAAACATCTAAGCAGAATGAGTGTCCTGCAGATTCCTTGCTTTTTGCACTGTTTTGCTTTGCCTCCACGTTGCGTCGCGTTGCACAAGCGTTTGCTCGGCAGTGTGCTACTCAGTGCGCTGCAGAAAATTGTAGCTTCGCAGCTCTGCAGGTGGTCCGACGCTTGCCCTGCCGACATCGCTTGTTGCTGACTGGCACGCCATCCTGGCAGATTTTGATGGTTGTGGCATTGGCCGCACCAGTGACTGGAAATGACTGGAAGAGACAGCACGCGAACCCACGAAAACCGAAAACCATCTAAAACGTTATAAAACCTTTCACTGCCAGGCCAATCCAAAACTCCCTGCGCGAATTATGGAGTCTTTTGTCCTTTGTCAATGCCTTAAAGATTTCGAACATCCAGACTCAAAAGAAATGCAGAGGCTGCATGCTGCTGGGGTTACGATGGTTTCAACTGGAAATGCCATAGCGTCAAGCAAGACAACCAGCTGGAGAGGTCTTGGCTATTCAATGTTTGCGCTTCAGTCTGTTTTATCTCCGAGGGAAGTATGTGGCATCTCCCTTTGCACAGAAAGTTGCACCATGCAATCATATTATATCCACTGTGCATCGCTCAGGTGGCACCTTCTGCTTTTAGTTCGCTGGAGAACTTTGAGCAATGGTTTGCAAAGAGCTCAGTGGTGATCACGGCTTTAAGGCCAACAGCTACGACCAGCTACGAGTCATGCATGTCTCATCACTTGTTGCACCATGATGTGATTCAGATTTCTCAATGACGAAGTTCTTGAGGCAATACAGTGTTGTAGTGTTTCAGAAGTTAAAGAGCAGCTTCGGTAAGAGAAGGTGTGCACCCATGGAAAGGTCAGGACATGCCGATATGTGATGACACAGTTCCTAGGCATTACCAGCTCCACCATCTCTGCACCTCAGCAAAGGGATGGATGAGGCCTGGAACCTGCACGCGGCACAGGCTGTCTCTGTTTTGGACAGGAAAGTATGGAACAAAACGGGACATGGGACAAGCCGGACAAGCTTTTTTTCATTGGAATGTGCCACTGCGTTCACTGCGTTCAAGTGGGTCGAGTGCGTTCAAGTGCGTCAAGGGATGGGGCATGGGAACAGAACCAGCACTGTCAGGATGAGGCCGGGGACACGGAGGCAGGGTGTAGCTGTGGCAGCGTGGTGGGACAAATTTGGATGGACAACTTGCAATCGAATAAGGAAACATGCAGCTGACCCTGACAGACTCTGTATTTGTGTGATCAGGCGATACACATCGATACACCATGGTGATGCCTACGGGCCTTCACATGCCATGGAAAAAGCTGATGTATATACAGTAGTATTATCAATATATATCTATATATTATATCCCCCTTTGAATTTCCTCTACGTTTTGAGGGGGCTTGGGCTACGTTTGAGGCTGACAAAAATAGTTGATTTATACAAAAAATGGGGTTGGTTCCCCAGACATTGTAGACACATAGTGGTATGTAAAGATCATGTTGGATGCACTAGCTTTTTGTAGAGAGGTCATTTTGAAGCAGTTTTTCCGTCATGTAAAAATGCAACCAGCTTTTTGTAGAGAGCTCCACTTTGAGGCTTGAGGGCGCCACTACAAGTAGCCGAAACGAGGGTTAAAAAAGGACTTCCACATGAAAGCTTTCTTTCTCCACAAAATGCTGAGAGTTCGGGGGACCCAACCTCCTGAGAGCACAGAAACCTCTACAAAAAGGATAGGGAAAAATCCAGCTGGATAATTAATTGATGGTTCTTTTAAGTTAACCATGTGGGTTGAGCAACCTTTTTGTAGAGCTGATTTAGCTCGGTTCTTGGCATGGTGCCTAGAGTTGGCACTAGCTTTTTGTAGTCCCAAGGTTTTTGCAGGTGAATGCTTCTTGTAGACACTGGGGGTTGGTCCCTAGTGATTTGTAACTACGCAGAGGGGGGTCCAACCCCTCCCCCCTAATTCTAACGAGGATTATATTATATATATTATAATATCAGCTTCTTCTTATGTATACACATACATAAATTTCCTTCGTCAAAACAAATCGTGTTTCAAGCTCTTTCCAACTTGATTGCCTTTGTGTCTCTTGCTAGCAGAGGATACCCTGCATGGTTGCGTGGTTGCGGGTTTTTGCCTTTTCACGCTCAAGACAACCAAGGGGAAGAATTGAAGGAAGGTATTTTAAAATCAACCGCTTGTTAGAACCATTCTGTCCCTCGCTTCACGAATGGATTGCCGAGTGGGACCGCGAGGCCAAGATCCTGTCGCAGGAGGAAGAGTTCCATGGCTGACATGAACAGATTGGACCCAACAAAACATCCATCGACGAAGCATCACCTGCAGACGACTGCAGGGCATTGGGGGATGGGATATTTCCAATAGGACATGGTTGTGAGATTTCTAATGAGGCTCTTGATCATCCAACGGCTGCATGGAGTGTCCGGAAGCCAATATCATGGATGATGAGCTTTCTGTGTTTCTGTGTCTCGGTCTTTGGTCTCGGTATCACAGCGAGGCTGCGACCATTCCTTCTGCGCAGAACAAAGGTACGATATGGTACGATAGCTATTCGATGGTTCAGGGAGCATGTGATTTTCTTTTGGTGTCCAAAAGTACACTGCTGACACTGCTGGCAGCAAAAGCTCAATGCCCAGGAGCAAGTTCTGGCAGATTTGCCACCGAAGACGGAGGTCGGGATGGTTGCTGGTGCATCCTCAACGGAATTTTGGTGTGTGCAGTGAAAGCATGCAATTTTGAGCATGCCAATCAGGGGCTTTTCGTAATCAGAACATATCAGAACTCTTTGAATGTGTGGTACCCTCTGGTAGTTTATAGTGAGTTTTCCCATTAAAAATGGTGATTTTCCATAGTTATGTTATATAATTTACCAGAGGGTAAAGGGCCAAGCTGGTCAACTTGTCATGGTTTCAAACCGGGTCCAGAGTGTCTTCCAGACTTCATGCAGGTTGTGCTGTGGCTACCACTGACCCGGTGGCAGAAGGTGCCCCAAGCAAGACCAGTGTTCAGTGACCAAGCTGAGTTAAGATCTTATTTTTTCTGAGGGAACTTTGTTGCAACTGAATTCTCAAGTGCGGCCACAACTTGCGAAGCTCCTGGCTCAAACGGTCTCGGAGATTTTTGCGAAGCTCCTCCTGTTCCTTGACAATGCAATAGCTGGCTGACATATCTCCAATTTCTACTGACTCAAAATCTTAGTGGGCCTCTTGTGCCTCACGGCACGTAGTGACCATTAGTATCCATTAGTGATCTAGATAAACATGCCTAGGTTGATAGATATTGAATGATATCTCAATGCCCCTCAGACGTGTGTGGGCTGTGCCAAGGACCAATGAGCTACTCATACAGCCCCCAGTTCTTTTTGTCCAGGACCCAGTTGTGAAGCCCGCATTTACACCCAGAAGGTTGACAACATTGAAGCCTCGCCAGATTTACACCCCTCGGGTTGCCAGTGCTCATGTCTATGGTGACAACCGGTTGGTTGTGCATTCTGTGCCTAGAGTATCTCCAGAAATCGTGCCGAAGATACACACTTATCATATGTATAACATATATATATATATACACATACATACACACACAATAAGTATATCATGTATGTATAACTCTCTTTTTCATTTGTCGTATTGCCAAGGCACTTCCCCAAATATCATGTTTTGGACTCAGCAAACTGAGCAGCGACATCTGCGACCCTCAGTGACGCCGAGTGACGTCGAGTGACACCCTCAGGCTCCGCACTTGAAGCCTGGTGAAGAGCACAAGGAGACCATGGGAAGGGTGGAGGTATCTGTGGTCACACATGTGGTTATCCTGAGTCATCCTGAGTCATCCTGAGTCATCCTGAGTCATCCTGAGTCATCCTGAGTCATCCTGAGTCATCCTGTATGGAATGTATTTGTTTCCGTTTATTTTATGGATGTACTTGTCCTCTCACCTCTTGCTGATATCTGAAATCAACCAAACACATACAATCCATACAGTGTATACAGTCTGATCAACTGTGCCAAAGCGTCCAGTGGAGGCATTTGTTCCGCCTCAGGATCCTTTGGACGAGATCAAACCAAAATGCCTGAGTAGTTGCCAAGACTGGTTGCCCGCTGGCTCAGATTTGACTCTGGCTGAGAGTCACAACAGGAGCTTTGTCGAAGCACTTCCACGGTCAAGGTAATCTGTTATTCACTAATGTACTTGATTCGAGATGCAATTTGTCAATCTAAACCTGCCAGAGGATTGTTGCATATTGTTTACCGCAGCCTCAACTTGGGACTGAAACGAGAGTTTTAAAAAAACTTCGGCAGTTGCTCTGAGGACGGAGTACAACAACTGTGTGACTCGCATCTCAATGCGCACTGATGGTAAAGGCGGGAGCGCTGAAACCACCAGAAAGCAGACAGAAAGCAAGGTGTGTTGGTGTATGTTGGCTGTGTTTTTCTATGTTTTTCTCTGATTTTCTCTGTTCGTCTGACTCTCGGAGCAATGTGTGTTTTCTGTGTTTTCTCTAATTTCACGGTATCTTCATGTGTCAAACTGAATTGAATAATGACAAGGGAGGCGCTTTGCCCAGCGATTCAAGTCACCAAACAACACTCATAGGGGAACCAGCCTGCAAGCATTCTCTCTGTGCTGAGGAGTCTTTGTTTGCGCTGGTAGAAACTGTAGGATGATGTGACGCCAGGTGACTGCAGGGGACAGTTTGAAGAGCTGACAATGTGCCAGGACTGTCGATTGACATTGGATTGGGGGCTGTGTCCTCCGTCTTTGATACGCTAGAATGCCAG